TGTTTCTGAAGACAGCAAATTAAAACCATTGTTTGTCATATAGAATGCGGCCTGTTGGGTGGCTGGCTCTTGTCTACCCCTGCATTTACCCCTGATACATGGAATTCTGATTCTAGGAAATCTTGTAGGAGGGAAGTGCTTGTGTTGTTGGATTTGAATGTTTTGAGAGACACTTTGATCCCTTTTCCAGGCATCAAACACAGATGCAGGAGGATTTCACTGGGGTTGCATGTCCTCTGCTCTCACGTTGTTCAAGTTTCCTGTTTTCTCAACAGTGTATTGCAGACGTCCTTTTTGTGTCCAGATCTGCCTGTCCACCACCATGGTGACAGCAGCTGGTGACACTCCCAGAAGTGACAGTGAGGGGAGTGCTCTGAGCATTTCTCAGCTCAAAGGCACTGTGGGAGTTGGAAGGTTTGGAAAGCAGAAGAGATTGCAAGCTCACCCAGCCTGAGCTGGGGCAGGGGTTTCAGGGTCCTGGCTTTTTCTCTTATTGGAATAGAGAAGAACTTACAGAAAGAGTCACTTAATCTCGATGGAGGAACTAGAAGTACACAGCTCCCTGGTAAACTCTTCCACTTGATACTTACCCTCATGATCAGCAGATTCTTTTCAGTCCAACCCTGTCTAGTTTCAGCTTCCAGTGCCTGTCTGCTGGTCTCTCTTTGCTGGTTCACAATGCTCTCTGCTGATAGGGAACCTCTTCTCCATACAGATGTCCTCTATTGGGATTTACTGTTCTCATAAACTATCCTGGCAATAATTCTCCTAAAATAGGAGCAATAAATAGAAGTAATAGCCCAGTCTTGCTGATCTGTCTAAGGAAGAGATGTCTCTATGCACAGGTCCCTCTAAGCACTTTCTTGTTGTATATGGCTGGGCACAGGGAGCTGGGTTTGGTAGAGCTCTGAAGCCTGTCTGGTGGTGCTGTGCCAGCTGTGGAGCTGTGCTGGATGTGGAGCTGTGCCAGATGTGGAGCTGGGCTCTTGAACACCATCTCCCAGTTACCTCCCCTCCCTGTGCAGTCTCATGGCCCCTGTCCTTGGTGTGTCCCAGCAACAGGATTGCCTGTTATCACATGCCAGCTTAGCCACAACTTCTCCCATATGGGTGTACAAACATGATTCCAGTTTAACTGTGCTGATATAAGAAGAAGGAACTGCAGATAGTCTGGCTGGGATGATTGTATCTACCGAGGAAAACAGAGCAAGAAGGTCTCTCCTTTTCCTCAGATCTCCTCTTTTGGCAGAGAAGGGACAGTGTGCTGCCTCTATGGCCTCTGTGGCACTCTCACGCCTGAAAGGATGCACGCGTGTGCCATAACTATGAGGTACTTAATCTGTGATGCATTATAGAGCCCAGTCCTACATGCATCTATCCCAAATACCATCATCCCACATTATCTATCCCCTGGGCTCCTACGCAATGAGCGTAGAGCTTATAGTGATATGACAAGGGGGAATGGCTTTAAACTTAGATTTAAATTGGATATTAGGAAGAAATTCTTTACTGTGGGGGTGGTGAGGCACTGGTACAGGTTGCCCAGAGAAGTTGTGGACAAAACCAGATTGGACATGGCTTGAAGCAACCTGGGATAGCGGAAGGTGTCCTTGCCCATGGCAGAGAGTTGGAACGGGATGATCTTTAAGTTCCCTTCCAACCCAAACCATTCTATGATTCTGTGATTGTCTACAGGCAGGGTGGTGGGAAGACCCGAATGAAGCCAAGTTTTGTTTCTTCTTCAGTTTCTCCCCTATGCCATTTTCAGTTCGTCTTTCCCCCCCAGAGCTGCTATAGGAATCGGAGTTCAACTGTTGTTGAGAGAGGATTGCACTGGGACAAGTTAGGGGCTCTAACACAGAAGTGGTCCCAGCATTCAGTGGATCTTCCTCTGCAGTCTCCATGGGATGATAAAGTCCAATCTAATAGTGAGCTGGTATTTAGGATCACATTCCTTTCTAAATCAAAGAGAAGAGATTCACACATCCATACTCCATGCTGTCTTGATTTCAGCTAAGTTAGTTTTCTTCCTAGTAGCTGGGTTTTGGATTTAGTATGAGAATAATGTTGATAACACACTGATCAGTTTTAGTTGGTGCTCAGTAGTGATGACTCCTAAGTCAAGGACTTTCCAGTGTCCCATACTGTGCCAGCAAGGAGCTGCACATGGAGTCAGGAGGGAGCATGGCTGGGACAGCTGACCCAAAATGGCCAAAGGGATATTCCACACCAGAGATATTCCACACTGGGCACATCATACCCAGTGTATGAAATGAGGGGGTTAGCTGGGAGGGGCTGAACGCTGCTGGCAGACAGGGTGGGCACGGGTCAGCAAATGGTGAGCAATTGTACCGTGCATCACATGTCTTTCTTAGGTTTTGATTCCT